CTATTGGGAAGGGGTGAGAATTAGTGACCCATGTTTAGAAAATGCAGTATAAATGATTTTTGATAAGGAGACAGGAAAATAAGATCTCTAAATCTGTGATTATATGATCATAAACTAAAGGCAGATAGGCAATGCAACCAAATTTGGGAGGACTTGGATCATTTGGGAGAGTGTATCAGCAGATGACTAATGCAAAAAATGTGAATAATTTCGAAAGAGGGAACCAGCGTAGGGAATATATGCTAAAAGCTACAGTCAGCCTGAATAATGAACAGAAACTGACTTCCATTATAGAATGCTACTGAACCTTTATGACCTATGTACAAAAGCTATGAAAACAAAAAGGTATTAAGTTATGTTATGTTATGTTATGTTATGTTATGTTAGTTGGAAGGAGTAATAGAAAACAAAGAGGTATTACTGTATTAGACTTCCATCCTCCTGCCTTGGAAAACTGTTTGCAGGATGGATCATCAAGTAGCAGGAAGGATATTATTGTCATGGAGATGGTTAAGAACAGGCCAAAGAACTTTTCTTATGGCATAATTTTACTGCCCTTTCTCTGATGGATGCTTCTTTTCTTGAATATGTATAATACTTCCATAAAGAGATGGGAAATGCTCTTTACATTATGAAAAAAAAATATTTATCATCTGCAGTCTCACTTGGATACTTTATACACCTCACCTCCTCCATTATCATAATATCAGAATCTTCTTCATAATAGTTCATTGTAACAGTGCTTAGAACTGAGTCACAAATGGGCTAAGTGACTCATCTAAGGTCATATTAGAAGATTCTGGCGGATCAGGGACTCGGACACAGGTCAGCCAATCCTGAGTCTCTGCCCTGAATCACTGCTATATCCTTCACCTCTTGCTAACTCTACTAAAGCAAGCCAGGTAAACAGCATTTCCACCTAAAGTTCTATTTATTTTCATTATTTTCTTTAATACCGGGGAAGTTAGAAAAACAACTAATTCATTTTCTCCAAACAAGAAATCTTCTGCAATTAATATTGCATACCATGTCCCATAATTGAAAAAAAATCACTTGTGTGATTTCTCACATGATATAATTTCTGTTTTCTCACATGATATAATTCCATCATAACAATTCCAAATTGGGGATTCATTCTTTCATACACAATCCATGCTCAGCCTAGAATTCTTATATGTGCTCTTATGTTCTTCTATAGAAAAGTAGCTAAAGCAAAACTACATGCTAGACCAAACAAATTACAGTAATGATTTTCTCTGGCTTCTTCCTCATTGTTCGTTGCTAACAGTATGCTTATATCCATAAAAGTATATGAATGTTGTCATATCCCATGGGCAACTGGATACTTATTTTATAATATCTTCCATATCTGTCTTTTTTTTTTCATTTTGAGCTTTGAACAATATCCAGGGAAATAATTTTGTCCTGAGATTTATTGAAAAAGAGTGAACAAATAATGGTACTTAATTGAGAACTTTTGGGAACTGTTCTTGCCTCCCACCTACTTGCATCTTCCTCATAAAATACAAGCTGGGCACAGTGGCAACCCCTGCGCTAGACATAATGCAGGAATTTCTACCTGTTTAGTGCACACTGGAGAGAGAAATCACAGCCAAGGAAACAGGAGTGGGGTTTTTGGGGTCATGGAAAGGAGATTGTGGGTTATTTCTTGTCTTCGCTTTCCCCGCAAAGCTAGTGAATGACAGAGATGGTGGAGACAAGTGTCATGCGCTACCCTAAAGGGATAGAGTAGGGAACAAAATCTGGCCTCAGCTCTGCTGTGAAAATCTGAGCTGTGCCCATGCAGAACAAAGGGGGAGGGCAAGACAGCTTATCTGAGCTGTCAGCACAGATTCATCACCAAACTAGAGAAGAAATCCATCAAAATGCAAGCCATATAAGAGTAAAAATGACTGCTGTTCTGCATGGTGGCCTCATTGTAGATTATTTTTAAGGGTGAAGAGCAGGAGGAGCTGGCACATCAAAAGTTCTGCTTCCAGTAGAGTTCTGCAACCACCTAACCCATGAACCTGCATATCAAGTGTCAGAATAATTTATTTCATTTTAGAGGCAGAATTTTATAGTGTGTTTTGTAAGTAGCATTTTTCTTTGAATGGTATCAACAGATATAGACGGTCTCCAGGAGAGCTGTTGCTCCTGCAAATCAGGCCTCAGATACAGACAATGAATATGAACCCTCATGTGATGGTCACAGTCTGACATGGAAATATAGGATAATTTAGAAGGACTAGACCTCTCATTCAGAAGCTCCCTCTAAATTAAAGTGGAACCCATTTTATGCCTGCCCTAGGTAGGTATACAGAGACTGCCAACTTCTGGGCAATTTGAAGCTTGTAAGCATGTTTTCTTGCCTGTACTTTAGCAAAGAGTATGTCATGGCATACCCATAGGTCAATAAGTAAGTCGTACTGTGGGCTGATTTTTGTTTTGCTCTGGTGTAACTACTCTGCGTTCCAGTGCATTGGTAATGCAGCAGCTAGTACAGAATCTGGTCCACGCTGTTCAACCTGCCAATATTAAATCCTAGATTTCTGTTCTCCATGGAGGCAGGAAATTGGTGAAGCACATAAGAGACCTTAAGAGGTTTAGCCTTCACCTGATGAATTGTACTTTAAAGTTTGTTCTGTTTGTTCTGTTTGTCTGTCTTTTTATAAGAGCTATAGGTGCCAAGCTGGCATTAAGGGAATGGATGACATGGGTGACTGCTTGCACTCACAGCGGTGCTCTTTCCACTACCTGAGGCAGGAGTGGTGTCCAGCCCGCACCCCCCACTTCCAGCCACTTCGCAGGAGGAGCTGGGCTGGGAAGTGTGGGCGGCAGCGCCATGCTGCTCCGCCTTCCTGCTGGACAGCATCCCGCACTCCTGCCTGCCTGCAGCATCACTGCTGACTTGGGGGAGACACTAGGGGGTGGGGGTGCCAAAATACTAGTTCACTCTGGGCACCATTTCCCCTATGGCTGGCACAGTGCAGGTGTCATTTATGTTAAGCTTTTCCTTTTTACTTTTGTTATTCTGATGAACTGCAATTCAAGGTCGAGTTAAGCTGTTTTATCAGTTTGCGAATTGATTCCAGAGGCAGGAAATCTGGGTCACATTGAAATAGAGAGGGCAGAAGTTTGTTAACTGAATACAAGATTTTTGTCAGTTTAGACTGACTTTTGATTCTGCAATAACAAACTCGGGGTTCAGTGTATTTGATCAAATTCTGTCCTCTTTTGCATTCATGGAACTTCATGGAGGGTGGTTGGTTGTTGTTCTGGGCTACATTCATTCATAGAAATCCTGTACTTCCTTATGTGGGTATGTAGTCACAGCCTAGTCCATCTCTGCAGAGTGTGCAGAGATGTGTGCCCAGCCCCCCCGATTATGCAGTGTTAGCAATACAAGCTCTCTGCTCTTTATGGGCTCAGCATGCAAATGTCTGTTTAGCCATCTCTGGGTACGTACCAAGAGAACAAACCTGAGAGAATTATCGTAGATAATTTGAATGTGGGTAGGTAGCCTATGTTAGTAGCTTTGCATCTGACTTTCTTTATACTCTTGTAAGATATTTTTGTGAATATATAGTTCATAAAATGGTTCAGGCCAATTTCTGATTTAAAGAAAGATTTCTGAAGTTTAAAAAATAAGTGATAATACAGCAGTGTTAATGTTACATTTTGTAAGGAGAGTGATAGAGACTTCTGCTGTTTATCCATAGTTCACATTATACTGTATAAATATGTGTAAGCTTTATAATCCCCCTTATAGGTGAGAACAGAGATCACAGAGTCAGCATTAGACCAGAGCATAGAGCATTGGTATCCAGCATCTCACCTGTGTTCAAGTCTCTTGTTTTTTGTTTGCTATAAAACGTCAGTATTACACAAAACTTAGAGGGTACATATATTTCTAGGGTTTGTTCTTGCTGATTCAAGAATAGGCATCCTATACGATTCTAAGAATAGGCAAAGCAAGGACAATTTCTAGGAGTAATTTTAAATTTCAAGGCTGTTTTTCAGAATGTTTCATCCCTCACTAACAGAGCTGCAAAGTATAAACAACCAATGTATAAATAAAATTGAAATATACTATATTTTTCTTGCATACAACATGCCCTGGAATCAACATTTTAAAATCAACATATACATGTTGATTTTAAAATGCAGAATGGAAAAAAAATCTTTCCGTATACTGAGTAGCAACAGCAAGGGAGCCAAACCAACTCATTGTTTTACTGCTTCCAGATCGCCGCAGATTTTACTTTTGGTTTTACCTGGAAGGGGTAGAACCTTCTCTTAGCATATTTCTTGCACAGAAACGCATTGGTTTTTGAGAAACGGTATAGATTGAATGTGAGAAAATATGGAATATCCACATCTGTGTAGCGAATGTGAAGCAGAGCTCATTTAATGTTAAAACATCATCAAAGGCATTTTGTTTGAGCTTGATGAACAAAGCTAATAATAAACGTGACAAACTCAGCAAAATCTGGAATCAAATTGTTAAATACTTTCTGTGGTTAAACAATCCTTGATGCAAAGAGAAGCTTTATAGTGATTGTTTTCATTGGACTAATGAGGTAGTGCCTAGTCGTGTGAGATGCTGATTGCTTTTTGAACTCAAATGAGAGTTGAGTGTTCTGCAGAATCAGATTCTTACTCCTCATGGTTTTCTGCACATTTTGGGCATTATGTAATCCATTGTTCTTGAACTAACCACAGTTTTACTTTTTCCCTGTAAAAACTGGGCTGTGCTAGTAGGTGCCAAATTTTGGTTCAAAAGTTACTCCCTTTTATGCAAATTAAGACAAACAAGCCATATGGTATATTTCCCTCACTACCAGATTAACTATGCAGGAACTTGGTTCACTAGTGTAACTTGGTTACATTTGTTTTGTGTGTTTAGGGCAAGGTGATCATTGCTATGTCATTATTGTTTTATGCTTGCTGAAATCTGATGCATCACTTCTCTCCCCTTTTTTTCCTCTCCTCATAAGATAATCATTGGAGAAACTGCAGTGTTTTGTCTACAGTTAGCAACAAAAGATTTTGAAAACCAAGAAAAAACAATATTAACTGGAGACTGTTGTTATATAAATCCACTGGTGCGCAGAACCTTCAGATTCCTTGGTATGAGCAAAGTTAATTCTTTCATGTGTCATTAAATGTTAGTGGTCAATATCTTGTAAAATATGAAATGTGGAAAATATTTAAACACCATAAAATACTCCATATATAATCCTGACATAGATGCAATGAGTCTTTTTCCCATGTTCGGACTCTGCCGTAGCCAGCTACCTTCCCATCTATTTAGGCAGCCAGTGAATCCATGGGGCTTTTAGGTAAAGAACTGGTTGGCAGCAGTAGCAGCTCCAAAGAAAGGAAGAAATTGGTGCAGGGCAAGTGAGGGCAGATACATATCCAGCGGCATAGACTGCCTGAACAGGCCCAGTAGAGGCAGGGAGCAAAGAATCACCACCCTACAGCCCCAAGGAATTTTTCACTTGGCCACTCACAGCAAAGCAGATTAGCATGCGGTCTGCTAGAGGTCAGTGGAATTTATGATTAAATACAGGTTTTAGGTGCTTTGTGACCCTGGAGCCTTTATCTCTCTAATAATAGAAGGTTCTACATGGGGTGAAATTCTGGTTTTTCTGATGTCGATAGCAAACTCTCCTTGACTTCAGTAAAGGCTAGGATTTCACTCCTATGGTGAGATATAATTTTTCACTGGAGAAATATTATCATTAAAATTACTGATCCATTAATTAGTTCCCAAATGTCTCTGGAAAACTGTAGCAATGGAGGGATGCCCAGTCTGCGCCCTCCTGCTCAGGGCTGTCTTGGGCAGGGGGCTGGACTCAATGATCTTCTGAGGTCCCTTCCAGCCCTAATGTCTATGTCTATGAAATGACAGAAGGAATTGAGCCTCAGGCAGGCGCAACCTCTCCCTGCCTACCGCAGTGTGTGCATGTAGTGGGAGGAATGGCACAGCTGTGCCATTCTTCACAGTTTGAACACTTCTGAAGCATTGCTGCCTTCCTCCAGAGACTAATTCCAGCTGGTTAGTGACTTTAGACTGACAGTAATACCAGATGCTAAAAATTAAGGACAGGATTGTTCCTGACATGGATATTTGGGGGTAGGGAGAGGTGATGCTATCCCAAGTTGGGCCTGCATAATCAGCGCCTGCACTTCCTGTCCCCCAGCTCACTTGTTGGCCCCTTGAGGCAAAAAAAAAAAAATTGGAAGGGGGAAAGGTATAAAAAGTTCACCCCTCCGCTATGGTGGGCTTCACTGTAAACTGTTCACCCCTCCGCTATGGTGGGCTTCACTGTACATTTGGGACAATGAAAGGGGCCAGAGGCAGTCAATTTCCCATTATTTTAGAACAGCGTCAGAAAGGGTCACATATACAGTCCAGTTTTAATAATTTCTAGCAATGCAAATTTAATTAACATGACCATGAAACCAGAGTTCCAGTCTTAGAAATAAGGTGAGGCCACCTCAGGGTTCATTCTAAGCTTTTCTGAGTTATCTAAGAGAAAAGCTGGTCTTTCAAACTGAGATGCTTCTACAGTCTTCATATCTGTAGTGCTGTAAAGTCATTGCTCATTTATCTTCTGAGCACCTAGTGAAGTAGGGAAATGCTGTCCTTTCTATTTATCCATAGAGAGACTTAAATGACTTGCCCACAGTTACACAGGAAACATGGACTAAGCCAGGAACTGAACCCGCTTCTGCCAAATCTGAAGTCAGCATCTTAATCACTATCCTTCCCCTGTAGCACCAGCTTCCTTCTCCCTCAGGCCTTAGGAATGTGTATGAAACAATACTACATCTGCTTTTCCTTTGCATGATCAGATAAGTGTAATTCCATACTAATAAAGCAAAAAGTACACGAGGTCCACTATCTTTGATATGTGTTTAATAATAAACCCTGGAATGTAAATTGCTCCTCAGATATATAGCTCTTTACCTCACTATTTTGATATTTTGGGAATCGTGCCATGCATAGAAGTGTATCTGATGGTAGACAGATGAAGACAGCTTGTAACGGATATATTAAATAATACATCACTTCATCTTGCTTATGCAGTCAAGGTGAAGAAAAGAGGTTCTTGTCCAATATATGGATGGTTCCTAACATGGTTTCAAACTAATTATATTTATTGGGACCAGTCTTTCACAATCTTTGAGCTGGTGTGTTTGGTGAAACACTGACAGAGCCTCTTTGCTGACACTTGCATTTAGAGTACAGGGGGACTACAGCTGAACCTGGCCTTCCTAAATTTTTTCTGAAGAATGGCTAGCTACCCTAATAGTTTGAAAGGCAAAAGGTCTAGGACACACAGTGGAGTAGACTGTTCACAAAATAGAAGAGCATACAAATCTCCTGTAAAAGGGGGACTGTTTGAACTTCATCAAGATGATGCGAATCAAAACAGCAGGAACCTAACTCTGTTTTCCTCTTTAGGCATTTATGCATTTGGACTGTTTGCAACAGATATCTTCGTAAATGCTGGACAAGTAGTAACAGGGAATCTTGCCCCACATTTTCTTGCACTTTGTAAGCCCAACTATACAGCACTTGGATGTAAACAGTACACACAATTCGTCAGTGGTGCACATGCCTGTACTGGAAACCCAGATCTTATAATGAAAGCCAGAAAAACATTTCCATCCAAAGAAGCAGCTCTAAGTGTATATGCAGCAATGTATCTGGCCGTAAGTACATACTACTATTTAATTTCATTATAATTTGAACAGTGATTTGTAAATTAGTAACCTGAAATGTTTTTTGTTTGTTTGCAACTCAAGATAATCATTAAAAATAGGTTACACAGCTGAGATTTTTCCTTCCTCTGAAACTAATGTGTGAGAGATTTTATGAAGTTGGTTTGTAGCCTTTGAGAATTTGTGTCATTAGGTCAAATTCTGCCACCGGTTATGTGGATGCAACTCCCATAGTCTTTTAGGATTATGAGAGAGAAACTGAGGTAGGAATAGTTTCCAAGAAGGAAGATATATTTCCAGTTTAATTGTGGTGGTGGTTTTGTTTTTTTTTAAAGGCATTTATGTTGACGGTGGAACAATGAACTAGGCCAGTGTTCAATGAGAACCACACTGAGCCAAAATTGTCTCTTGTGCTGGTGGTAAATCCTGAGTAACTCCACTCCACTGAGTTACCCATCTCAGCATAGTTGCCTAATCCAGTGGTGTCTGATCTGCTCATTCCAAAAGGCCGGACTTACTATCGTGGAAAGATAAAGGTGCCCATCTGCCGTGTTTGGGAGCAGATTGCCTGTCATGTCCCATAATCAGGTGATGCAGAGGAGCAAAAAACTTTCCTGTAAGCTCTAAGTTTGGCATTTCCTCTGTGTGGAGGAGCCCCTAGCAGGCATAGATTTAGTACCATCAAGTGCTGTGTTTCCTTCCCCTTGCCTCTGGGGAAGGAGCTCTTGTGGCTCATGAAAATAGGGAGCAGCTGAAGGATGATGTGTCCTGGTCATCCCATTCTACCTAGTGTCCTCTTGAGAAATCTTGTCATTTGGTGCAAAAAAAGGGGATCCCCAGGCTGTCTGACCTCTACATGGAATGAAGCAGAGTACTGAATCACTAACTATTTTCTGTTTTTCATCTTCTCTTAATCTGTCTTCTGGGATTGCCTTCAGGAAAAGGAAACACCTTTTGCTAGGAGTGTCTAGGTTCAGGCAAAACCCTGAGCGGTCTTATCCTGCTCTCCAAGCTTCCACAGATGAGCAGGAAAACTGGAATGGAACAATTCCTTCTCCGTCTTCTGTGATGTAGCTGGTGGCAGGAGCAACTGGACTAGGGAGGGGACAGAAGCTATTCACCACAGTTCTGGCACCAGAGCTATTCCACAGAAGACGGAGGAAATGATGGAGGGAAGTAGTAACTGGGGTGATTCAAATACCTCAGCCTTAATTCAGAGTGTGTGTTCTTTGTTTTCATAAATACATTTTTATTTTATTGTTACTACAGTTGTCCTTATGGGCCACAGGTTAGAGCCCCTGATTAAATCTATTTTATACTATGTTCAACGTAATGATGTATGAGCACCTGGGCAAGAGGGAATAGGATTTTCTGCAATGTTTTGTATCCGAAGTACAAAGTAAATGTGTATCTTTTTGTGGCCATTAAGAGCTTTAACAAATAATTTCATGGTTGGTTAAATTATTGCCTTCTGACTAGACAATTTTTGAATTGGACATTTATATTTTACAAGCTAATTTGATTTGAGGAATTCTTTAGTTATCTGACACAACTAATATTTCTCAGTAACATTCTCAGCATAAAACATCTTTATGTTCATCAGCTTTTGGGCACTGATGTTCAAGGAGGGACCCACTCTTTGCTTCCATAAGTTATGTTTTAGTGCCTTGCTATTTCTAGCACTAAACACAGCATTTCCACACAATTCCTTGTGATTATAGTGTAATCTAGAAACTGTGAGCAACATCAAGGCAAGGGAGTGTTATTTGCAATCAAGTGGTGACGTGAGCAGTGAAATGCTAAACTATAGGAAGAACAACACTTAAGATTATTGTTGTCTCTTGCTGGGGGGATATATATGAAGCATTTGTTTTCTGATTAATTGAAATTCGCCTCTAAATTTGGCTCAGGCTATTACAAAAAGAATTTTACACTTTAATTGTACTTATTTTTCTTCTCTATCTATAAAACTGTGTTTCCACTATGTCCATGACCCACTTCAACCAGAGAAAAAAGAGCCAGCTATTCAAAGCACTGTAAAACAAGAGGAAAAATTAATATTAATAATTGTTTTTAAACCTACAAACATTCTAAATGATATCTTTCATCAACATAATTTGATTGTTAGGATTTAGATTCAATTCCCAGCTTACCAGTTCTATAAATTTTCATACTGGAGTTTCTGCCCCTGGTCCAGAACTGAATAATTTAGTAATTCAAGTTCTGGTCCTCAGACCTGTGTGAGGTTGTTTTTTGTTTTTTGCTTTTTTTTTAAAGATCCTTTCTCTGTCTGTCCCTCTCCTCCCTCCCCCACACCAGGACTGTAAGGAGAACTGCTTGCCAAGACTGAAGGTATTTGAAGTAATTTTGATACAGGCTATTGAACAGTATGGAGATCAGTCAGAGAGCAAACTAAATGTGATTTAGTTCATGGATTGAGATTTATCTCATAGTTTGCAGTCGTTCCATGTTATCATGACTACTTTGCCTGGTATATGCCAGTATAATTGTTATACTAAAATACTATGAAATGCTGCTATGACTTCTTAATGATCCTTTTATAGACTGTATGATATAAAGTGAATTATTGCCATGTAATTCACTGTAAGTTCTGACTGCACTATATATCAGAAGATCTATAAGCAGAAAATTGTCCTTTTTACATTTTAAGCTCCTGTTTCTTACTTCCATCATTTATTTTCAAAAATCTTTCAATATACATTGTTAAATCTAGAAATTCATTTTTGTAGGAAGTGTAGTGCATTTATTTTATTTGGGGGCATTGGCTTATGCTGTTGCTGATGTTTTTCAGTATCCATTCTTTGTCAGCTGATCTCCCTCAGGGTTATTCATTGGGGCTGAAACTTTAAGTTGTGGCTGGGTCTTTGTATACGCCCAGCACAGGCTACTGATGCACATAGCTGGCTGAGTACATTACCCAGCTAGCCAGATGCAAGCATTTGTCTCTTGTACAAAAACATGGCTTTTTTGTTATTGCTATTGTTTGGAGGTTGTTGCTGAATCCCAGTTTTCACTTCCTGCATTTTAACCATCTGGGTGCTAACCAACGTGCTGATTCAGAGACTTGACCCTAACACTGTATACACTAAACAAAGCAGGATCTGTATGGTTTTACATATCAGCTTATGTAAATCTAACATCTATCTTCTCTCTCAGTCTCCTGTATCTTCTTCTCTCTTAAGTATAGCATAGGACCTATCATATAGTATGGAACATACTGTCTTCTTTTTTATTTTTTTTTGGCTCATTTGCAGTTTCTCCCTTTCTCTCTGTAGCGTGTGTGGGTGGCTGCTATGGCAACTGCTGAAAATGCAGTCCTTTTGAAGCAATTTTATTTCTAATGTTTGAACCTCTCCATACTATTTTCTTCCATTGCTTTACCTGAGACTTCTCAAGGAAGCCTTTAGCAACTGAAATTGTTCCAGTGTAGCAGTGTGGTCAGGTGATTTGTAACCCACCTGCCCCATTCTTTTTCACAGACAGAATAATTAACTACTTGCTTGCTTAATAAGGTTAAAATTTAATCACATAGATGCATGCAAATCACACTCATGCTTTCTACCCAGGCTTGTCTGCTTTGGGGTTCCTCTTCAAAGATCCTTTTTCACCAGAGTCACTACTGAGCTCCCTTATGCCATTGACTCATTATCACAAGTGGATATCAGTCAGTCATTAATCCTTAACTCTTT